GGTGGGGAGACCGTAACCCATCCGCGAACACTCCTCTGTTTCGCCTCGTGAATATGCCTGCGGGCTAACCTGGTCACTCATAGTACACATGGGGTGTTCGATCTTGCTTACCACATCCTCGCACACGATGGACAGCTGTCTCTGGTTCCTGCTGGCAGCTCGGACAAAGACCGGATATGGTCTGTTTGCTGCGAGCTCGTCGGCGGGTTCGGGGCCACGAGGTCCCTGCGGCAGCAGCCAGGAGCAAGCCCGAGCGCCTCCGTCCTCCTGGAGCTTGCTCCAAATGATCCAAGAGCTTGCGGAAATAATAGGTGCGCACCCCGTTCTCCATGCCCGGGCCTCCGAAACGCCGCGACGCCGCCTCCCGGCGCCCCATCGGAATGGTCTCCTGGAACTCCGCGGAGAAGGCCTCTGGGATGTCCACAGCAGGGTGCCCTGTGAGACCCTTGGTCTTGACATCCCAGCTGCTGCTCTGATCGGGGATGCCCCATGACGTAGGGGAGTCGGGATGCCAGCCTGCATGTAGAATGTAGTTGATGACTGCCCCTTGTGGTCCTCGGGTATGACGGCATCTCCGCGCGGCTGGCATGGCTTTGAACTCATCAGCCATGTAATACCAGATGCGCTCGATGCCACCCCTGAGAGACGGTTCTGACAGGTACGTTGCAATCCACACTCGCACGGTATCGACTGCCAGACGAAAACCAGGGTCTCGATCAGCGGCACGCAAATCGAGCACGGTGGTGACACAGCGGCGTGTGAGACGCGGGGCGCTAGCGTTGGCCAGCTGCCTGCGCACTCGTACCAACTCGTTCCCCCCTACACTCCATGCAGCTGGTTGGGCCCCCCTTGCTGCTGCAGGCGCGCCGTGAGTTTGTACCTCCGAAGGATACGTGCAACACCTTTGATCTTCTTGGGCATGAGCCGATGCTTATCGTCACGATTGGTTCTAGTGGCCCTCCCATGTCGGATGATGATGATGATGATGATGATGATGATGATGATGATGATGATGATGATGATGATGATGATGATGCTACTGTTGCTGCTGATGATGATGACGATGATGCTGATGATGATGATGATGCTGATGATGATGATGATGATGATGATGATGATGATGCTGCTGCTGCTGCTGCTGATGATGATGATGATGATGATGATGATGCTGATGGTGATGATGATGATGATGCTGATGATGATGCTGATGGATTATGATGATGATGATGATGATGATGATGTGATGATGATGATGATGATGATGATGAGGAGGAGGAGGAGGAGGAGGAGGAGGAGGAGGAGGAGGGAGGAGGAGGGGAGAGGAGGAGGAGGAGGGGGAGGGAGGGAGGGAGGAGGAGGAGGGAAGGCAGGAAGGAGGAGGCGGAGGAGGAGGGAGGAGGGAAAGGAGGGAGGAATGAAGTGGGGAGGAGGGAGGAGGGAGGGAGTCATGAGGGAGGAGGGAGAGGAGGGGAGGAGGGAGGAGGAAGGAGGAGGGAGGAGGGAGGAGAGGAGGAGGGAGGAGGAGGGAGGAGGGAGGAGGGATGGAGGGAGGAGGAAGGAGGGAGGAATGAAGTGGGAGGAGGAGGGAGGAGGGAAGAGTCATGAGGGGGGAGGAGGAGGAGGAGGAGGAGGGAGGAGGGAGGAGGGAGGAGGGAGGAGGGAGGAGGGATGGAGGATGGAGAGAGAGAGGGAGGGATGGGGGGGAGGGAGGGAGGGAGGGATGGACGGGGGTAGGGGGGGGGGGGAGTGGGGGTGGGAGGGAGGGGGGAGGGGTTTGAGGGGGGAGGGAGGGAGGAGGGGAGAGGGAGGTGGAGGTGGAGGGGGTGGGGGGGGAGGGGGAGGGGAGGGGGAGGAGGAGGAGGAGGAGGGAGGAGGAGGAGGAGGAGGAGGAGGAGGAGGAGGAGGAGGAGGAGGTGGAGGAGGAGGAGGAGGAGGAGGAGCTGGCGCGCTAGCGTTATATGGAGGTTTACCGACGGCGGAATACGGGTATCGATTGCGAGCGGACGAGTCCAACCCCCCCGAGGCAATTTTAGAAAACATATATCGGCCGCGCAGCCGATGGACTGGGGGCTACCTGTGACAGCTATTGCCCGGCAGCTTGGGGGGGGGTGGGGAGAATTCGTTTTTTCTCCGTGTCCACGTGAGAAGCCTGCGTGACAATTTAAGCGGTCGCCAGCCTGGGCCGGCCGACCGCCCGGAGGATCGATAGCGAGCTGGTGTGCCAGTGACCTATGGAATTTCACCGACGGCGGAATAGGGGCATCCACCCTATGATTTTGCATACTTCATCCCTTGTAACTCTGAGGTTCGGAAGCCTCGGGTTCGTACTGCCTCTTGCCTTATTGTGCATTGTACTGCATTGTATTTCACTTGGCTGCTTCCAGACGGATGTGCACAGGCATGGCTCTTCAAACGGCGTTGCTCTGGTGAGCACTGCTCTGCTTTGCATTTCGTTCCGTTGCATCGCATTGCCTTGCCTTTCATGTGTTTTGCAAGTTTGTATGTGCAATGCTGTCGCTGCATGGCTCTCGCATCTGGTTTCCATGGCAATGCGTTGCATTGCACTATCAGTGTGGGCACTCCATTCTCTTCACTGCTTTGCATTGGTTCGCATTTCATTGCATGGGTGTGCCATGGTCAGTACTTGATCTCTGTTCGACCCGCGTTTCTGACGCTTTGGTGTAATTACCTCAAGTTCGAGACACGTGTGGGGAATTACTTCAGAGGATATGTGAATTTGTTACGACCTGGGGATTGCTAAACCTCAGCGCGCGCGAAGCGCGCGTGGATCTAGTATAGTGATGATGCTGATGATGGTGAGTATGGTCATTTTAATGATGACGATGATGATGTCGATGGTGATGATGATGGTTCTGAGGATAAATGATGATGATGCTGATGATGATGCTGCATATGTTGATTTTGATGTTGATTTTGATGATGATGATGGTTGTGGCGGTGGCGGTGGTGGTGGTGACGTCGATGATGAGGGTGATGGTGACGCTGATCATACTGATGCTGCTGCTACTGACGAGGATGATGATGATGATGATGCGGATGATGATGATGCTGATGATGATGATGATGATGATGATGATGATGATGATGATGATGATGATTCTGCTGTTGATGATAGTGGTGACGATGATGGTGGTTTTGGCGATGCTGATGACGCTGATGATGATGTTTGTGTTGATGAATCTGCTGACGATGATTGTGATGCTGATTCTGGTGCTGATTATGATACTGATGACGATGATGATGAACCTGGTAATGATTCAGGAGGTGATGATAATGTTGCAACGGGTTAATATCATGATATTGATGATGGCGACGATGCTGATTGTTGGTGACGGTGATGGGGATAGCGATGATGATGCTGATGATGCTGATGACGATGCTGTTTTTGATGATGGTGATGACGATCATGATGGACGATAACGATGATGGTGCTGATGATGCTGCTGCTGATGATCATGGCGATTCTGATGATGCTGATCCTGATCATGATGCTGCTGCTGATGGCGAGGATGATGACGACGATGATAATGTCGATGGTGTTGACGATTACACTGGTACTGATGCTGCTGATGCTGCTGACGATGCTGATCATGATGCTGATGATGACGATGTTGATCATGATCATGCAGAGTGCGATGGTGCTGTTGCTGATGATGACGATACCAGACAATGCTGATGATGATGCTGATGTTGGTGCTGAAGATGACGGTCACGATGTTGATGCTGGGGGTTCATGAGGCTGTTGACGATGTTGTTGATCATGGTGATTGTGATGATGATGATGATGATGATGTTGATGATGATGATGATGATGATGATGAAGCTGATGGTGACGGTGACGGTGCTGGCGATGTTTGATACTGGTTTGTGGTGTTGGTGGATGTTGAGCGATGATGGTAGTGAGGCTGCTGCTGTTGATGATGATAATTGTGTTGGTGGTGGTGGTGGGATGTTGTGGATCATGATGGTGACCATGATGGCGACGATGATGCTGCTGCTGATGATGATGATGAGGATCATACTAATGATGCTGCTGCTGATGATTATGATGTTGATGATGATGCTGCTGATGATGATGATGATGTTGTCGAATATGTTAATGATTATGGCGATGATGATGATCATGCTTCTGATGAGGTTGATGCTTCTGATGACGATGATGATGCTGATGCTGCTGATGATGAAGCTACTGATGATGATTGTGCTGGTGATGAGTATAAAGGTGAAGCTGATGCTGATGTTGATGCTGATGCTGAGGTTGATAAATATGATGCTTATGGTGATATGCCCATGCTGCTGATGATGTTGTTGCTGATGTTCATGCTGCTGATGATGAATCTGTTGTTGATGATGATGCTGATGATGCTGATGATGATTATGATGGTGATGAAGTTGTTGATGACGATGATGCTGATGATGATGCTGATGATGATACTGACGTTGATGAGGAGGAGGATGATGGTGATACTGCTTATGATGATAATGCTGACGATGATGATGCTGCTGCTTATGATGATGAAGATCATGATGATGATGATGATGCTGATGCTGATGCTGCTGATGATGATGATGATGCTGCTGCTGCTGATGATGATGATGATGATGCTGCTGCTGCTGCTGATGATGATGATGATGGTGATGATGATGATGATGATGATGATGATGATAATGCTGATGCGTGTGAGGGTGATGGTGATGGCGATGTTGCCGATGACGTTGATCACCTTCGCATTAGCATTCGTATCCGTAAGGCCAATCGCACTAATCATGATTTGATCATGATGGCTGTAGTGGCGAGGATGCTGATCAGGAGGATGAGGAGGAGGATCGAGGTTTTTAAGGCGTCGAGCTTTTTTTGTGGCCTCCGCGGACGCCTGGGGGGAGGGAGGCATGGGGGAGGAGGTGACGGTGGGGAAGAAAGGGGACGAGCATTCTCTGACCCCTTTGCGCGGCCGCCACCTTGGCCCCGGCGGGGCCAG